GGGCACTAGTGCTGCCTCGACTGCCCGCGTAGAGGTGACTGAAGGCAATTAAGAATGAGCGAGTGTATGTAGAAAAAGTGGCGAGAGCAGGAGCAAGAGAGAGCGAGTGACAGCGGCGAAAAGGAATGTGTGCCGGGAGGAAAACTGGGTCGCCAGTGATGCTGTTGTGGAAGGCAAGCCTGGTGCGTCCTTGGGAAACGCGAGATTATTATCGAGGGAGCTGAACGAGCAAGATCAGGAGGCGCCACGTGCGTCCTGCTGCAGGGGGGGTCTTCGGATTTGCAAGCACAGCCGCACTGCGTTCTCCATCCAATCTCTTGGCGGCAAATTGATCTTCGTGCTCGCCCCGGACACGAGGTCAGAATTTTCTGGGCCTGCGATTGACTTTCGGCTGAAGTTCATCTGACCTGCACTGCATCGCTGCATCTGCACAATACGATTCCTTCGCTAAAAATACATGTTTCTATTCTGCTTCAATTGTCACACCCACAAGAGTTGGGAATGCGATTTCCTTTGTTGACTGCAGTCGCTTTGCTCCCCGCAGGAAGGGTTTTTCCAGCAGGATTCCCCCTGAGCAGACCCAGCGATCGTACCCTGGTTGGGAGCCAACCCCTGCAGGTGGCGCCACCGCGAACCGCGGAAGACACGATGCCCCGCAGTCCCCAGTGCTTGCGATTTTAGCGGGCTCGGCAGCATGAGCGCAGAAACGGCTTGCTGGCGGCTGGCTGGAGGTGACTCGGCGACCGAGTCTGGAACGTTATCACGTTGGAGACAAGCAGGTTTGCGCCGACTTTTGTGGGCGGCAAACTGGCACGCAAACGGCCAAAGATGGGATGCCGCGGATGCCAACTGGAGGCAAACGGGAGAGCTCCACGCAAATCGGTGTTTCGAGGATGGAGTGTTTCACCAAAAGCTGACCTATGAGAACAAGAAGCAGACCTGCAACGCCGCCCGATTACCGTCCAATTACCATGCAAATCCCAGCATCATCAATTCAGTGGCAGAATGGTGAGCCCACACGGCAGCACCATGTCGTCCGGACTCTTGTCATTCACAAAACTCAACGAGATCTCCTGCAGCTCCGAATCATCAATCACTAGAATTTCCCGAGCGGCGCCGCGGCCGTGCGGAGACGAAATCTTGTCGGCGAGGGCAACGGCCTTGACAATCAGCTCGGCAATGGCCGCCTTCAGCGGACATGTCGAGAAGATGGGGCTGCCCTCCACCGTCTCGAGCAGCTCTTGCTTGGCACGACCGGTGCCGATGGCTCTCAGCTCGCGCTCGACCGCCTGAGTTGTGAGTGTGTGGAAGGCATCGCTTTGCGGCCACTGCGTGTCAGCGAGCTTATCCAGGAACATCACAACACTAGCAAGCGCTTGGGTCAATAAAACGCCACGCTCATGCGGGCTGAGATTCATCAGCAACATGCTCGGCTCCGTGCTGCTGCGATGCAGACTCTCCTCAAGCAGCGGCCTCTGGTCGGCTTCAAAAACGGCGAAGAGTATCCTTTCGAGCAGCCTCTCCTGCATCAGCACCGCCGCGACGTCTCGCATGTTGAAGATCTTGATGGCCTTGGCGAAGAAGTTCGGAACAATGTCACGCATGTCGACGCCGTCGATTTTACGCGCATGTCCCGTCTCGACCGTGAAGTACTCGGTGGCTGCATCGGCACAGACTGCAATTCTTCGCGTCAGTTCTGCATGTCTCCGTGACATGGGCGAGAGGGTGGAGGGGAGACTCACATCGCGTCGAGATAGTAGCAGAGTTCCTCTGCGCAGCAGCGAAAGCCAGCTTGACATTCCAGTCCTTCCACTCCAGAAGGCTGTTAAGTGTGGTTGTGGTGAGCCTCTCAAAGCTCGAATCATCGCCGTCGGGATCTGAGCCGCTGGCAACGCATACCCATGGCACGGGTTGAACTCGGTGCTTCCCTCGTTCGTCCAGCAAGACGGCATCCCACCTTTTCTTGATCGTCTTCTCGAACCTGTTCGTGGAAAGATCTTTCAAGATGTGTGAAACAGCGACCTTGGATAACCCACGTTGCTGGGCGTCGTGCGACCAGTCCATTTGCACTTGACTCACAAAGTCGTCGTACTTTGTGTACAGCAGCACAACAGGGACATGGGGCGCAACCGCTGCGAGACCGCCGCTGAAGAAGCGTGTCTCGAGGTGAGACACGGGTCGTTCCTCTTCGCTCGCGACGCAGTACCAGATGCAGTGGATGCGTTCCTGCAGCTCGGTTGACTCGGCAGACCGGGAAGCGATGAAGTCGCACACGCGACGGTAGACGCTCTCGTCGTCGGATCCGAAGTTGGGAGATGTGTAAATGGCGAGGCGTTCATTTTGGCCTTCCAGGCCCAGTTCTTTCTCGATGTCGTGGTCGTCTCCGAAGGCGTTTGCAACGGGTCTCTGATAGAACGATGTCAGCAACTTGATATCACCATCACTTCCCCAATCCCGATGCGGAGCCGAGTGCTCAGGGGGCAGTCGGCCTACTTTGTCAAGTTCAACACCAAAGACCTTCGAGAAGAGCTCCTGCTTGGTCGATTCCGGATTCCCGAGCACGAGAATGCGGAACTTGGGGCATGGCGCAAAGAACTCGTCGGCCGATGTGAGCCTCGGGATGGGATTGTCAGCAGACTGACCCCCAGTCGCCATGCTGAGACCAGTTGTCATTGTGGTTTTTTGGCGTCTCGGTATGTTGGAAAATATCCTTGCTGATTTTCTGGCAGGTTGGCGCGGTCCGGGACGGGCACCAAACAGTTTTATGCTCGTGGCGGCTGTCCATGCACATATGGCCTGATGACGATGGCGTGTCGTAACGTCACACCACCACCCGCTTGGTTTCTGCGGAGACGCCCGATACCGATTGGGAACTAACAAGATCGCCAACCTATTGTCTTCCTCCATTAAACACTATCTTCTTTCTGTCTTGAAACCTCGTCCCAGCCCCAACGCCCAGAGAAAATCACCCCACCCAATCAGTCCAGCTTGCCAATCACAGCTTTCGGCCCCCCCTGCTCCTTCAGCTTCTTCTCGAAGACGTCCAGCCCCACCATGGACTTCGACATGGAATCAAATGTCCCGATGGGCAAATGCTGACCGTACTTTACCAAGGTGGAAAATCTCCCAGAATAGATCCAATGCGAAGGGTTCTTCTTGCCCAACGACGCCACCACTCCAACAGCCCATACGTCCCTGTCCTCGGCATCCTTGGCGTGGTTCTCGCCGTTCATTTTTGCTTCAATCACGTCTTTCGCAAGCCCATACAGGGAGTTTGGTGGGAGTTTTTCGAAGCCCGCGTTGCCATAGAAGGGAGACTTCACGGAGCCCGTAACCAGGTTAACGACCTTGATGCCGAAGGGTTCCAGCTCCAGACGCAAGCCCTCGGTGAACTGGGTGGCGGCTGCCTTGGAGGCGCTGTAGGTCACTTGGAAGGGCAACCCGGCGCCTGGAATCGAAGACAAGGAAGTGTTGTTTACGATCAGTCCGCCGTAGGGATGCGTTGACTTGAACAGAAGTGGCAGGAAGGCTCGCGTGACGGTGATAACGGACCACACGTTGAGATCAAAGAGCTTCTTCCCCTTTTCGATGTCGACGTCGAGGACCGGCATGGAATAGCCCGAGCCGGCGTTGTTGAGGAGGGCATCGAGAGATCCGCCGGTAAGCGAGGATACAGCAGCTACCGCAGCGGCGATGGAATCGTCGGAGACGGTATCGAGTTGAATGGTTTCGATGCCGGCGTCGGTGACCTCCTTTAGCTTGGCGAGATTGCGTGCGGATGCGATCACACGCCAGCCGGCTTTGTGGAAAGCGAGAGCGAGTCCGGCGCCGAGACCGCCGTCTGAGCAGCCGGTGATGAGGATGGTTCGTTTTGGCGCGGCCATGTTGATGACTTCCAGGTTGTTGAGTTGTGCAGATGAGTAATTGTTAACACGAGAGCAGGATAACTTCATGCAGTTCGGATCAAGAGATGCGGAAGACGAAAACAGCTGGTATTATAGCTGCGTCCCAACCCGCGCCCCTGACGCTTGAAACATGAACCTGTAATTCCGTTGGCATTCATCGTCCTCCCGCGCCGTCATCAACGATGTCGCAGGGAAGGATTTGTCATGCGCTCGGTGCCGTCGTCGGCGACATATCGCCCAATATGGGAGTTGGCGCTGGCCCGTCAACGCCTGGGTAGAGCCGTCGGAGCTCTACAGTGTGCTTATGCAGTCATGTGCTTTGGACTGTTGCGGACGTGGATTGAAACAGGCGAGTCCGTCGGAAGGATTTTGCGCCGTCAGCTTCCGTTCTGATCGGTTGGTTGGGTGGCAGGCCGCGTCGGATTGGACAAGTCAATCCCGTCGGGATTTGACACGGAATCCCGTCTGGCGGCCGCCGCGTAGAGGACACATGCTGCACGGGCACGGCATATCGAGGGGGATTGCGTTATCGGGAGACGGCGATAGTGGTAGGGCTGGTAACCCATTTAAATTTCGTTTCTTTTCCGAGTTGCAATTACAGGCTCACAGAACCTCGAGTTGTTCTTTGTTGAGAGAGGATTGTTTCTTTGTGTTTATTTGTAAAAGGGGTTCTGTCAACAGTCTTACACGGAATGGAGATCGGGCAGCGGTAGAGATCGAAACGTTGTTGGTCAGTGGCAGAGATCTTCCGTCTGACACCATGCTCGGAATCGGACTGCAGTGAATGACGCGGCGCAAAGAGCGGGATTCGTCCCTGCAAGTGTTTGCCATTTCAGTGGTAAATCCGACTCAGAGCGTTCATCTGCAGCTGTTGGTCGCATTACTTCGCATCATTTCAGAAAGCGGTTGGAAGATCGTGAAATCGGAACAAAGAATACGTACGAGCTTCAGGGACTGACTGATCCGGAGATAACAGACCGCAAACACAACATCAGTACGGAGCAACCGACCCCCTAAAAAAAAATCCATGCACGAAATCAAACCATCAAGAAGAAAGGAAACCCCTCAACGGGTTGCTAGAAATGCAAAAAAGTACTCTCCCGCCGGGAATTGAACCCGGGTCTCGAGCGAAGTCAGTTATTAGGTGACAAGCTCACATACTGACCACTATACTACGGAAGATATATGGGTGTGTGCACCCATCGTAGCTGGTTGTTGGAGTTGGCTGCGCTAATGCGGAATATGTAGTAGCGCGCCATCACCTTAACAAATTCTGTCACGAGCCCCCACGGCCAAACTCCTGCACTCCACTTTTTTGTGACGCCGGGTTGATGCATGACCCGTTGACGGGCCACAGGCGCGGGGAAATCGAGGGGTTGAGCCGTCGGTGATCGATGCTGAGGAGCTCAGCCCCTCGTTCATACACTGCAAAGTTCGAGCATGACGGTGGGACAGTAGTTTCTGGAGGAGATCAACTCAACTCCCACGCAGTATTGTATTGAGGTATATATCCAAAATATCCCTTTTAACTTCACGCCAACCATGCGCAGCACGAATAAGAATAACGATAACGACAGGTATTATGACCGGACCACAAAAACACCAAACGCAAACGCTGTCAACCCACCACTCCACTTCAACAGTCCCTGGATAGACGCGGCTCTCACCGGCAACGCACATTCACGGACGACAGGACAGGGAGCAAGCACGGCATGTCACAACCATGCGTGCATCCCATGACCCGACCTGAATCAAGCCCAGGCGCCAACCAAGCTCATCAGGACGGCGCCGAGCAAGACCAAGATGCACGCGAAAACGCGCTTCCTGCCGCGCATAATGACCCAGCTGTGGTCGCTGAGGAAGTCTTCGGCGAGGAGCTCGATCAGAGCGGCAAAAACCAAGAGACCGGATGACAGAGCGTTCATGGTGCCGACGAGAATCAAGCCAAACTCGGATGTGTCGCTGTACAAGGTGTGCGTGGCGAGGCCGATGGCCTGACCGACGGGGGTACTGCCATGTGTCAGCGAAGGGTGCATAAGAGGACAAGAGAGGGACTGTTGCTTACGTGCACCCGTATGCGAGAACCATGAGCCACGGCTGCCAAGACCCCTCGGGCCAGTCGATGGATGAGATCCGAGCGCCCAAGGCGAGACCTTCAAAGGTTTCTGTTGGAGGTTGTCAGTCGTGCCCTCAAAACATGGGAATAAACTGGCAGACTTACGGTGAAAGGCGATGGCAATGAGAAGCACGACGAAGTCCCCCCCGACGGCTATACTCAGGGTCATTCCAATGAAGACGCTGTGAAAGAGGATGCCCACCTCCAGCATCATGCACTGGAGGATACTCTTCTTGTGTTGCTGCTCCGGGGTGAGAACGTGGACGGGCGTGGCCGCTTCGAGGCTGTCCTCTGAAGCCGCCGACACCGGACGACGACCGCTGGTAGCCACTGGTGCGTGCTCAATGCTTTCGCCATGACCCGCACCATGGGAAGGTCGCGTGAACGTCGACACATCAGCGTGGCCGCAAAGACCACCACCCCCAGAGGGACGGACAGTTGCGCCGCCGTCCGACTTGGGCTCCAGATTGATGGCACTCGTCCGTCGACTGGAACGCGGGGTGAACTGGCGGGCGGGGCTGAAGGCCATCTCAATGATAGTGACGAAGAAAATGCCAATCAGGGCGATGGCTCCCGGCATGGGCGGGTAGTCCTCCGTCCAAAACTTGGAGAGGCATGGGTCCCCGAGAGCGATGAAGGCCGTCGGGAGCAAGTGCACAAAGGCAGTAGCCAGCAAAACGCCGGTGCCAAAGTGACGAACGCCAAAGAAGAAGTTGGCCGGGATGCGGAGCACCGGGAACTTGGATGCGAGCATAGGGAAGCCGCAAGCGAGGCCCGAGACGGCCAAGATAATGAAGAGTGCGCCAACGTGGAGGGGCATATTGTACTCTTGGGGGTTGACTGAATTGCCGGCGCATGACCCCTCCTCACGGCGGGCCAGCTTGTTGGCGGACGGAGACGAAGACGGAAGCGCCGGGCTGGCCACCGGGACCTGCCGAGCGAAAGAGGGGGACAAGACGTCCCGAGCGAAGGAAACGAGGGTCGACGCAACGACGACCGAGACAACCCACCCTACCCAGCCCCAGAGCTGGGACTGGGTCGGGCGGGAGTGCCGGGCCTGGCCTTCACCACCGGGCCCCGCCTTGATCGCAATGAGCGGCACTGTCATGGTGTTAGTTTATTTATGAGGGTTGCTTCCGGCCTCGGGGTGCAACAGCGGCAAGAGGAGGGGCGGGTGCGGGCGGCAGGGGAGGTGGAGGGGCCGGAGCTACTGGACACGGAAATATGTCGGACGCCGGAGTCATACCTTTTGTGCCGCTCATTGCAAGATGGGGGCGGTCGCGCGCGTCGGCATCGAACTCGGGCGTTCCACCAATATCGCCGGGTTTCTTTTCGTCAAAGCCGAACGCGCCCGCAGCAGAGTGGCTCCTCTGCACGCGGGCGTTAGCGATGCCATTCAGATCCTGGCGAGTTGTGAGATCCGGCGCCAGGAAGGGCGGGTTCTGGTTCCACGAGGGATGCTCGAGGTCATCCTCTGTCCGTGACGGGCGGTTCATTGTGCGGTTTTCCGTCAATTGACGCCTCGATTGGCGTTTTTGTTATTCGCTATGCTGTCAGTTGATGCGACTCGTGCTCGATGCAAATGGATGACGAAACGACTGTTGACGACTGGAGCGGTCTGGATCTGGGCTGGGACCGTCAATTTAGGTAAACGGGTGGGGAATGTGCCGAGACCCCTGAAACTTCCGGGGCGCAGCCGACAGCAGGGAACAGAACCCGATGCCGGTCGAACCCGGCTCTGGAATTCGACACTTCCGCATGATGAGTGGTTGTGATTTGGTGAGGCCCGCTCGACACGACTTCCCCAGCCGGGGCGCATCCCGAGCCGATGCAGGTGATGCGCTTGGCGAGGTCTGGTTGTTCGAGAAAATCGTTGTGCGCTCCGCTTTGTGCGCCCTTCCGATTGTTGTCACGTGCAACAGCTGCGTTTTGCTGACAGGCCTGCAGTCACGCCATCCGAAAAAAAGCCATCAAGGTTCTCTTGGCGCCATCCCAAATTTTCTGGCGTCCAATCCAAGTCAGCTTCTACGTCATGCCCCAACTGCGCATGCAAACTCCAGGAACGGGCAGACGGATTGGCCTTCCGGCATGTGATATTCCTGAGATGAGTAAGATGTGGTATCTTATCTGATCAGCGTTTTACTCTGCACCGCCGCGCCAGTGCATCGCGATGTCCTCGCGGAGAGAAGGATCCTCACTCCCGTGAAACTCCGGGCGCCCAGACCGCCTCCGCAAACTCCGCCGAAAGGAAGCCGTCGTCTGCTAGCCCGCTCCTGCGAATGTGGGTATGGTCTACGGGTTAGTGCAATTTAGGTCGGATTGACATCCAACCTGACAAATGCTGGCAGGGCGGCCTTCCTAATCGACTCGAAATCCTCTGCACTCAGACGTTGAAATCCTTCCGACGTCTTCTGTCTTACCAATCACAGGGAGTTTTCTTTCTTGCTGTTCCAAGGTTGACTGGCATGTAAAGTGTCCGGGCCTCAGGATGGCGTCGACGAGACAAGACATAAATGGTGGGCGTGCTCGCCGTTGAGAGAGTCTATCAAACAGCGAACCATCAACATCTTCAGTCACTCAATTCTTCATTTTCCCAGCCGCGCCACGATGACCACCACCGTCCTGGTCACTGGTGCAAACCGAGGTACGCGCTCATCCAACAGCTTGAAACTTTTCCCTCATCCGAACTGCCATGGATCACGCTGAAACACACCAGGCATCGGAAAGGGGTACGCCGAGTTGTACCTCTCCCGCCCTAACCACACTATCATCGCCGGCGTTCGCGACCCCCACGCTTCCAGTGCCCAGAGTCTCAAAAGCCTCCCCAGCGCACAAGGCAGCAAACTCCTCGTCGTCAAGATCGACAGCGCCTCCGATACCGACGCCCTCGAAGCCGTCAAAGCCATTCAGGCTGCCGGCATCAACCACCTCGATATTGTCATCGCCAACGCGGGCATCATTGTCTTTAAAGAGCACGTTGCAACGCTTAGCCTCGAAAATTTCCGCAAGCAATTCGAAGTCAACACCTTTGGACCCGTCAAACTCTTCCAAGCCACCGCTCCTCTTCTCAAGGTGTCGAAAAACCCCAAGTTCGTCGTGGTCAGCAGCATCCTTGGCAGCACCACCGACGCCGTTGCCTTCAGCGCGCGGTTTGGCTTTGCTGGCTATGGCGCCAGCAAGGCCGCCGTCAATCACATCGTGAAGAGGATCCATCATGAGAATGAGTGGCTGACGGCTCTGGCGTTGCATCCTGGGTAAGTCTTGGCTCTCGTATTTGCTTCTCGGTTGATACAAGTGTCGCTAACCTCGCTTCTTAGCGCTGTTGGCACTGACATGGGAGTTACCGCTCTCGACACTCTCGGTCCTGGTGCCGAGTGGAGCGTGACGGTCGAGGAGAGCGTCAAGGGGCAGGTCAAGCTGATTGACGAAGCCACGCGCGAGTCGACCGCTGAGAATGGAGGCTTCCTCAGCTTTGACGGGAGTGTTCTTCGATACTGAAGGCCGAAACAGACAGGACATGGGCTGGATGATGGACACTTCAGCAGTTTCAGGACAAGGACAGAGCTCACATCCAACATGAATCACTCTTTTGAACCGCACCTCTACGCTAGGGCAAATCTGCAGCTAAGCCACCAGGTAACGACAGTCCGTAAAGAAGCACCTGATCAGACAAGACAAGGAAATAAAAATCAGGGGCAAAGACAGCTCCCATCAAAGAAGACAGAGCCTCCCCATCCGGGCACAGAAGAGAAAGACACTCGCACCAAACCCCAAAACCTCTTTGCAGTCATACCGTCCAAATCCTCCTCGCCCATCTCATCACCACCCCTGACAGACCCCTAAACCCACTCCCAGACGCTCAACCTATCCGGTCCGCCGCAAATCTGCGTCGCATCGCCCGTGCAATTCATATAACACTCGGACGGAACCGCCGTCGACACGGTCCCATTGACAACATTATCACACCAGCACTCCCTCTCAAACTCCAGCCCAAACTTCTTGAAGCCGCGATTCAGGCAGTAGCTCCCGCACGCCTCGGGAGTCATGGAGTTCGAGCTCGTCATGT